CCAGCCAGGCTGCAAAACATCAGCATCAACAATAAGCATTTTCTGATCACAACTCCAGGCTCAGCACTGTCATACGCACGTCATCGGCCACCGAATTCCCTGTGGGGAAGACCTCCTGTCCTGATCGATGCCCGATTTTGAAATCCTGGGTCAATTTTGACCTGCTTCTCTCCTGCGGGTTCCTCATGCTTGGCTTGTTTGTTCTACACCATCCAGGCCTTTGATCAGCTGCCACTCTACCCCATGCCCCTGGCACTGGGCTGGGGCAGCACCTCCACGCCCACCTCCGCTATTCCCACCACCCTCCCACGCCTTCTGAAGGCCAAATCCATCTTCCTGCAGTGTAGCTCCGGGTCGGTCATTCTGGTGTCCTAGGTGTATCTAGGTGTATCTGCTGCCATGCAATCTCAGCCCATCCTTGGCTAAGAAACCCAAGCTCTTCCCAGCTCTCTCTGTGTCCCATCCACGTCCCCTACTCTCCCTGTACTATGTAATTAAACACCTCCCTAATCATGCATTTTCCTGCCAGTGAAATCATGCTCTACACTGCTGCCCCAATATGAAAGACCCTTCATCCTGAAACCCCACCTCTAAATCCTTCCTAGCACTTGAAAATCTCAACCATAGCTGTTTCCTTTTTGGTTCCTTCCTGATCGTAGAGTCAAAGTTGAGGGTTCCAGAGCCTTCCAGGGGGCCCTTTTCATTTCTGTACACATATGGTTCCCCATTGGATTAGGGGCTCCCCCAGGCAAGGCTGTGCACCCAGCACCTCTGCTTTACCCACCCCACCTGGCTCAGCACAGGAGCTCAGCAAGTGCTCATGAATGAAGGATTCTAAGAGCGAATTCCAACAGGTGTGTCACACAGCCCCTTGCCTCCTGCTGGGCCTGGTGAAGTCCTCAGGACAGTCAGCAAGTAGTTAAACCAGAGTCCTCTGATCCTCTGAGATCTGGCCTCCTGTTTTGTGACGGTCTTGTGACATGCATTTTAATTAGGACTCTAATGAAAACACAGACCTGAGAGTGAATGTCACTGGCCATCAGCCCTGAGGGTGGGAATTGGCCTGGACAGCAAGGAAACTGCAGGCCCCAGGACCCGGACCCGACTTTTAGCTTAGGCCGAGCAGAGCACCTAGTTAGGCTCACATCCCGCAGAAGGTCATGATAATGTTAAAAGAGAGGGTTTCTGTACTTTTATAGGCATATTCGACTGAACCCAGGTCAGCCCTCACTGCCTACCAAGTGGCAGAAGCCCCAGGAGAATACTCTGGTGAGCTGGAAGAGTTTGCACGAGGATCACTCAACCATTGTTGAGTGTGCAATGACAGTCAGTGCCAAGTAGAAATTCCCTTTAAATCTCAGCAACTGCTGGTATGATTTGCTAAAGCCCTTCTGAATAACAATTTCACAATCTTAAAAGTGACCACACCCTTCCCATGAAACAAAGAGCCCATGCATGTAGGGAAATAACCCTCAATGAAGGCAATTCTTTATAAACAAACTTGCTGATCACATCACTGTTTTGGGGAGAAGACAAACTGTAATAAATGTTCACCAGTAGGAAGATTGTTAAATAATACATTTACTGGGCTGGGGTTGTGTCTCAGGGGTAGAGCCCAGCATGTGTGAGGCACTGGGTTCGAGCCTCAGCACCACATAAAAATAAATAAAATAAAGGTATTGTGTCCATCTACAACTAAAAAAAAAAAAGTGGGATTTTTCCCCACATATACACAAAATAATACATTTGCTAATAGTATAGCTAACAGTACAGTTAATTCGTGTTTTCAATATGCCAGACATTATGCCAAAATGTTCACATTTGATACATCATCCCTATGCATCCCAGCCAGGAAGCGGCTACGGTGGTGAGTGTGCTTGCTTTACAGATGAGGAAACTGAGGCTTGGCGATGTTAGGTGAGTCATCCAGTTTCTAGGCATTGGTGGAGGCAGTATTAGAAGCAGGTGGTTAACTCCAGAAACTCAATTCTTACTGTGATACTGGCCCTCCAGTGTGTGTGTGTGTGTGTGTGTGTGTGTGTGTGTGAATATTGCACATTGACTTTAAGTTTTACCCATTGATTTTCAGTACTTTTCATAACAAAATACGTTGAGTTCAAAAGGAAATAAAATTGTCTATAGGGCATGAGTAGAACCTCTTGCCATCACTAGCTTAAGTATATAGAATCAGAAAAAGAAGCATATTAACGTGGTGACAGTGTGCATCCACTTCTGGGCTGTATTTGGGAGATAAGCATTTCCTCTCTCTCCTTTTGATGCTCTGTAGTTTGTAAATTCTCAGCGAAATCATGCTCTACACTGTTGCCCCAGTATGAAAGACCCTGGGTCACTACCCATAGACACCCAGGAAGAAGTCACTAACTCTCTCTTTGCCAGCCCCCAGCCAGATGAACTGGGCTCTCGCCCCAATGTGGCCTCTGGTCTACTTGTTGCGTGTCTCAAAGCAGAGAAGCCAAGGCCTTTGGCACCTGGCTTCAGTACTTACTGACCGTCACATCACATGGTCATTATCCTGGACCTGGACTGGCAATTTGGGGGTAAAATCACAAGCCAAGAAAGATTCCACAAGCTGTGCCCAAGGCTGCTGGAAATGCCCTTGACAGCAAAGTCACCACCCAGAGAAGGGTGACCCAGAGCAGAGACCATTTGTTTTCAGCTGGCCCCAGCCTCATTCACATAGCTTTGGGCTACACTGTGTTCCGTTTGTGTTTATTGTCACTTTTAATTGAATCACCTGACAATTTCCAACTGAAGCGCCTCACAGGATCATCAGAGGCTCCATGATTGTCAGGTGGAGCACTGACAGCCATGCCCTCGGGTGGATGTGGGCCACAGTCTCCACCACTTGTGACTGCCTCCCGGACACCTCATCTGTCACCCTGTGCCTGAGCTGCTGCTGTCTTTCAAACAGCAGAGGGAGGCAGACCATGGAATATGCCCTGTGTTCATGTTTCAATCAAAAGAGGAAATCTGATAGGAGGGCCACGGGTCTCAACAAAAAGAGAAGAGGGCAGCTTCCCTGGGTACCTCTGGCTCACTGATGTGACCTCCCTGGTCCTAGCTGGTCTTTGAGTTTTCTACTTCTGGCCAAGAGGGTTCCTGAGAAAGAAGTTCAAGAGACCACATCCTTCCTCATTTTCTGGAGCGATTCCTGGCCAAAATGACCGCCTCCTATTCCTGTCAGCCTCCTACCCCTTCTCAGTGGCTGATACTGCCAGGCACCTGCAGTCACCAGAGGGCTTGGTGTCCACACAGCCAAGGGACACTTAGAGGGACAACATGCAGGTGAGGAAGGGAGGGGGGCGCTGCTCTCAGGAGCACTGGAGCCTCATCCCTGAGCCTCTTGCAGCATCTGGACCCCAAAGAGCTTTTTGACTTAAGGAGAGGTTTCCTCTCATCAGAGACTAAGGCATTTCTAGAGAAGAGAGGGCAGACAAAACAGCCAGTGTGGGGGCTGACTCTGCTTACCATGTTCTTCATCGCTCTACATCTTTGCTTTCACTCCTGGGGACAGGACCACATCAGCAAATTTGAAACATTCCTCCAAGGTATAGGCCTTCAATCAAACTAAGTTGACTACTTCAAGTAGATAAAGGTGAGGATCTGCCTGTTCCATGTCGCCCTGGTGGCCCCACATACTGAAGGCGACTGTGCACACTGGCTGATGAGACACATCCTCGGGGCAGCCATGCCTCAGGCCCTCCACCCGTCCCGACAGGGAACATCAGCTTCCTGTTCTGTGCAGGTGTGGGCCCTCTTCTGGACATCACCTGGCAGGGGGCTGGGTATTGAGTCAGGATGTTCCTGAGTGAGTTTTGGGGGCTTCAGTTGTGACACATGGGTTAACCCCAGCCTCTATGAGCGGAGGGGTCATATGGACGACATTCAGGAGGCTTCCAGGGAGAGGGGATTTATCCAGAGAGGGACCTCAGGTCCAGCCCTTCCTCCACACAGAAAGGGAGACAGAGGCCCAGGAAGGGTTTTATCCTGCCTGGGGAGACTGAAAATTAGTGGAAGATCTAAGAAGGAAAGCTCAAGGTACTGAAGTCTATCTTCTACGATGCCCAGCTTGTCTCTCCTCCAGAGCTGACACTCAGGACTCTGCACACCAAGCACCTTCTGTTTTTTCCTCCCATGACACTCACTCGCCAGAACACGAAGCTCTAATGGCTCTGAGGGCCAGGAGCCAGGGAGGGTGGGAGAGGATGGGCAGGTGTGTGGAGCAGGCAATGCTAAGACCAGCAGCTTGGTAGTAGGATGGATAGGGGTATGAGTCCCAGCTCAGCCCAGGGACAGCGTCATGAGGCTGAGAGCTGTGCGGCCACACGGGCTCCATGCTTGGGTTAGCGGTAAAATTCCTAACTATTTTTTTTGCTGTTGCTTTTAACAATCAGTCCTTGCATTTTCATTTGACATTGGGTGCTGTCAAATAATGTAGCTGGTCTTTGCTCGCCGTCACTAAGTGTTCTTGAGAAACAGTTTTCTCTGGGAACTTCAGTTTTCTCATCTGTAAAACAGAGGTAATGGTAGCACCTGGCTCACGGAACTGTCACAAAGATGAATTAAGTGAACACATGCAGAGCTCTCAGCAGGTACCTGCCATATAACCTGTCATGTACTAAAGACTTGACTTATGACAGTTACTACTACAGCTAGAGTAATGAGAACACACATGGAGGAAGAGCCAGAGGCAGGGTGTGTGCACGTGTGTGTGTGCACGTGTGTGTGTGTGTGTGTGTGTGTCTGTGCATATGTGTGTGAGGTTCCTGTCTCTGGCAATTAGGGTGCAGCACATGTGGTCAGGATTATTGGATTATTGGATTCTGTACAGTGGCCTTTTAGAACATCTCTAGAACATGACATGATAACATGAGTGTCCTGCTCAATAACAAGGATGTTAAAAACTCCATCCCAGATTCAGCCACCCAGGAAAGAGTCAAGGTCCCCAGACACCAGCTTCCCCTTCCCTGGCCTCTTACCTTCCCGAAATGGCTGTGTTTGCATCTGCAGCCGGATCTTGATGAGGTCCACGGGCCCGCCCAGCCCAACAGAGACCATGCCAGCCACCATGCTGGCTAGGAGCAGGTCAGACAGGCTGTGGCGAGGACTGGTCTCGGGCTCCCCACAGCGGTGTTGGCTGAGGAACCGCTGTGTGTTACTGAAGACCCCAAACACCACTGAGTTGTAGACAGCAATGCTGGCCAGGGGGAAGGACATGCCCTTGAAGAAGCCGAACACCTGTGGTGAGACCCAGTGAGGGAAGCATGAGGCCCAGGGATGCGGCCAGGCCCCCTGCAGGCCACACTGCCCTGGCCTCTGATAAGTCACTGTGTTGGTGAAGAGCCTTGAAGAGGAACCTGATGGGACAGGAGAGGGCTGCTGAAACTCAGGGGCAGGCATGCCTGCCGCTGGAGAGAAATCACTTCTTTTAATTTTTTATTTTTTGGAGGGTACTGGGGATTGGACTCAGGGAGAATTGACCACTGAGCCACATCCCCAGCCCTATTTTGTATTTTATTTAGAGACAGGGTCTCACTGAGTTGCTCAGCACCTCACTGTTGCTGAGGCTGGCTTTGAACTCTCGATCCTCCTGCCTCAGCCTCCCGAGAAACTGGGATTATAGGCGTGAGCCACCGCAACCAGCTGAGAAACCACTTCTGCACAATGTTTTGTCTCCTGTGTGGTGGTCTCCAGGCCACCTGCTGCTTCAGTGGCAATGTCTGGGGCTGGCCCATGGGACACCTAGGGAGAAGTGGCTAACCACCATACATATCTCCTTATTTGACCCTCAAAGCATTTTCTGGTTACTTCCCATGTGCCAGGCCCTAGGGGACAATAAGAAACAGTCTTCACCCTCACTGAGCTCACGGTCTAGGGACAGGGCAGTTGAGGGCAAGGGCAAGGGACAGACAAATTGACAGGCAATTACAGTGCAATTCACTAAGCCCTTGGTGAGGGTTTCTTCAGGGGTATGTGGGTCAACCTGCAGATGAGGGCCCTGAGCATGAATGTCTTCTGACAGAAGTGGCTGAAGAGGGAAGCCCCGGAAGGACACAAGAGCAGCCCTATGCCTGCACAGGGGGCTGAGGAGAGGTGCTGCAGGCTGGGGTCAAGGTCTTTTCTCTACTGCATTCTCAATGAGCACTGCACATGGGCTCTGAGGAAACCCAGAAAATTCCATAGGCCCTCGGAGGAGTCAGGGCAACACCCAGATGCCAAAATAAAAATGTTCTAGGAATGTTCTAAAAAGCCACTGTACAAAATCCAGGTTGTGCACTAATCCAATAATCCTGACCACATATGCTGCACCCTAATTGCCAAAGACAGGAACCTCACACACATATGCACGCGCGCGCGCGCACACACACACACACACACACACACACACACACTGCTTCTGGCTTTTCCTCCATAACAAGGTCCTTCAGATAACTTTGGACGCTGCTTAGCCAGGAGCTGTGGTACTTCAGAGAAACCACCTACAGTCCCCATCAAAGCCCCAGAACTGGGACACTGGCTGGTGGACTCTGTGGGGAGTGGGTGCCAAAATGGAGTCAGACCCAAGGGCTGACTTTCAGGGGACTTGGGGATCACACCACATTACCCTGGAACACCAAGTACTAGGTTTGCAGTGCTTGCCCTGATTTCAAAGCAGCCAATCGGGAGAGTTAAATCACACTGATGCAAGATGCCCTTTGTCTGTGGACAATGTCACAGTATTGTAGGAGGCTCCCAAGCCCTAGTGTACTAGAAAAGAGCAGTCGCCATAGATCACATTTTCTGGGACTCAAGGAAAATCTGCAGGAATATCACAGAGCTTGTGCTGACTTTCTGTTTCTTTTTTCGTTTTCCTTTTTTTGAACTTTATATAATTTCTTTATTTGTTCTTTTTAGTATGTGACAGTACAGTGTGTTTTGTCATATTATACATACATGGAGTATAACTTATTCTAATTAGGATCCCGTTCTCGTGGTGGTACATGATGTGATGTTTCACTGTATTCATTTTAAATATATTCATTTCACTTTGAATTTTCAAACTTATTTTAAATCTCGCAAAGAGGGGCCTTAGAATATCACATGGTAATTCTCAAGAAGGAAGCTGATGTGTCTTACAAAACTTTAGCCAGTTTTTCTTTTTAAAATTTTTATTAGTACCTTATAGTCATACATGATATTGGGGTTCATTGTGACATAATTAGAGATGCATGGAATATAACTTTCTCAGTACTTCCACTTTCCATCGTTTTCTCCTTTCCCCTGCCCCCTTTCCTCTATCCTATCAATCTTTCTTCTATTTATTTATATTTCTTTTTAAAGGAGTGCATTACAGATGTACATAAAGGTGAGATTCACTGTGGCATATTCACATATGTACATAGGATAGTTGGGTCATTTCTTTCCATCATTCTTCCCTTTTCCCATCCTCCCTCCCTCCCTCTCAATCTCCTTCCTCTACTCCCCTGATCAGAAAAGCTTGGGTCACATGGTGAACTCAGTGTCCCCAGGCACACCGGGATACATACCTGTGGGCACATGGTTTCCCCGCCACTCATTCCAACTCAAAAACTGACAGGCCACCTTGTTTATGCAGGAATTTTCCACACTGCGGTTTTATATTCCTCAGATTTCTCCAGAGAGGTTACACAGAACCAGGTTTTTCCCCAATAATATTGTAGTAGGTGACAGGATAAGTTAGGGTAACATGTAATATGTGGGGTAAGAAGAGAAGGAAAAATCAGGCCAAGGTGATGAGCGGAATGAGTGGCCTCTTGCCTTACACACTATGTGTGGGAGCCATGACCTGGGCCCCAGCCCATGAGACCCTGGCAGGGATCCCTCCTCCCACGGGGTGGGGGGGACACTTACACTCTCTCTCTTGTACATGGTACGGATGCAGCTGAAGGTGTTCCCGTAGCCCACACCAGCCTGCAGGCGAGTCTGTGGAGACAGACAAGGACATGGGTCATATGAAATCAATCGCATCCCCATAGCCCCAAAAGATGCCCAGAGGAAGAAGACCCTGCCCAAAGTGACCCAGTCAGGAGCCAGGCCTAGCCAGCCTGTGCTCTGTCTTCTGCAGGCACTGTCCTGTTCTAATGTCCCACTCAGTCCTGCTCAGTGCAGCGGAAGCTTGCTTTGCCTCCAAGAAGTACCATGGCCAGTCAGCTGTGCAAAAATTATGGCTGCTGAAGGTCTCTGCCGACTGAGTACAAATATCCAACCGCGGCTCTCTCCTATCAGCCTCTGTCCATCATTCCCACACCTCACACCTGGGAGACCTGCTCTTCTTGCCTCCAGAATCACCACCCTGTCCTCACTCCTCCATCTCTCACCTGGACAAAGGCCTGGCCTTCCCTCTTCCTGTCTCTTTGCACAATCATTCTGATCAAGTTCAAACATCAACGTCACTCTGGTTAAAGCTGTTCAGTGGACTCCCACCAAACTTAAAATAAATTCTACACTCTGCCTGTACCTAGAGAAACCTCGAGTAGAACGTAGAGGACACCTGAGCTTGCCCCTTACCCCACAGGCCATTTCCTGTCCATGCCTTGGCCTCCATGCCCACCACACACACATTCCCAATCTCTGGAGCAGCCAATCTCTCCCACCTCTAGACTTTTCTCTGACTGTTCCCTCCCCTTCAAAGACTCTTCCTCCAGCTCCTGTTCTCTTGGGTCTGACCTTAGCAATGGCCTTATCTGCTTGTTTACATAGGGTTTATGTTGGATTACCCGAATAAGGCAGGGCCATCTGTCTACCTTCCCCTTTTGTCCTCAGAGTTGAGCACAGCCTTGGCACAATGGCTGCTCTGCACTGGCTAACTGAGGGGCTGAATGGTGAAGGCATGGTGTCCTCTAAGGACGGCTGGCTTTGGTGACCAGGGACAGCAAATGACAAACAGAGGGTCTGAGGAAGCCCACAAAATTCCCCAGATCACCTCCCACCCTGGTCTCGGAGGATTTCACTTCTTTAAAGATGCGTAGCTTATTAAATGGTTTGGCGGTAACCATGGCATGCTACACCCATGCAGGAAGGGAGCTGTGAGAGCCACAAAGGAGGAGATGCTGGCCCTGTTCCCACAGCACCCAGGCACACTGAGGAGCTAAGACCCAGGGAAGATGGAGACTCTTCACACAAACTGCTTGAGCTCACCACCAAGGCAAGTAGAGAGGACCCAGGAGGAACACTCATCCTCACGGTGGTGGTCCCCTAAGTGATGCTTTGGGGCATGGAACTTTTCTCCATTTCCAACTTTCCTACAATAAGCGAGGGAGACTTTCATTATTTTTAGCTTATATGGTTTTAAAGATAATTTTAAGTATACAACTAATATGGAATGAATACAATCTCTCAATTAAAAAGTTTTAATATCACAGATAAAGGTGAAACCTCCTTTGGCCCACTCTCTCTCCCTCTGCCCCTCCCAGGAGCGATAATCATGACGAGTAGCATGGCCAAAGGTTTGATTGGCATCCATCTATTTTTATAAACACATGTAGCCATAGGAAATAAGCAGGAAAGGGTATCACATTGTTCATAAGTATTACTTTAATAATCAGGGAAGGGAAATGTATTTATTGACTCCTTCAATCAATATTTGTTGAGTGTCTGCAGCAAAGGAGTCTATTCCAACTTCAGGAAATTCTCAATGGAGATGACCAAGTCTCTGACCTCATGGAACTTACTAGGGCTGGAAAAAATAGTCAATAAAAAACAATTCAAAGGTAAATATGTATGTTCAATGGTGATATGCTAAGGAGACAAATAAACCACAGATAGGAAAGGCCGGGTGGTGATGAAGAAACTCACTTCTAAATTGTGTGGCAAGAGGGACACCGGGAAGAAAGAGCAAGATGGAAACTGGGTTGTCATGTTCTCCTTGCTAAGCAGAGGTCTACCTTAGGATGGGGTGTCCCCAATGAGTACAATGATGACTTGATGTAGACCTTTCTCTATGCCCCACATAAAGCAGGTTTGAGATCCTATGCTGTCTTGTTGTCCCTGGATAACGAATCCACACAATGATAGGGTCCCCAGAAGGATCAAGTTTCCACTAAAGTTGAGAATTCATACTACTTAAGGAAATGGTACATGGGGGGACTTGAACCAGAGCAGAACCCAGACCATAGGATAATTTCAAAGCCATGGAACAAAGGTCTTCCTAGCATGTTGAGCTCAGCATGGCCCTGAGGCAAGTGGCAAAGCCCATGGCCCTAGGATCACCGGTTACAGCAGGAGCTGGCATTTAGTATGCACCAATTACACACATGGCATCTCGTAGAAGTCACCTCACTGAATCCCACCCATGCGGAGAGGCAAGATACCACCCACATTTTCCGGATGAAAAAAGCTGACTCTCTGTATTAATTTCCTATTGCTTTGGAAGTGGCTGAAGCAACACAGGTTTAGTCTTATACAATTCTAGATGCCAAAAATCTCAGCTTCGTGACACTGAGGAGCCAGCGGCTAGCTCCTCCACCAGTGGCCAGGCAGACAGAGGAAGGAGCCTTGACCTAGGACTGCAGCTCAGGTCCCGGCAGCTGGACTCTTCCACAGGTGGGCCCTGGACCTCAGGCAAGTCACTCATCTGCCTCTCCACACCCTCCCATGTCTTTCCATCAGGTTGGGGCCATCTTGCTGGTCACTCTTTCTTCAGCATCTCCATGAACAATGTTCATGACAGCCTTAGCAAGGAGGTGCTGTGTGCAGATGTTACAGACAAGAAAACCAGGTTCCAAGGAAGCTAAGTGCTGTTCCCCGGGGTTACGGGAGTTGGTGGGAAGGTTGGGACTGAACTTCCAGTTCTTTAAACTTGCCCAGATCTTTCTCAGTGACAGGTACTCCAGAGAAAATGTCAACCAGAGGGAAGGAAGGTAGTTCCAGGTTGAACATAGGACAGTGGGACACCTCAAGGACAAGACCTGAAAGTCAGTCACATGAGCCCCATTGCCAGTCTGGTGCCTGGGCAGCAGGTTCTCAGGCTGGTCACAGACTAGCTTAAAAAGAGTCCCCCTGAGGTGCAGGGGCAGAGTGGAGAAAAGGAAGGGGCCCCCAAACTTTCTAGGTGATAAGTGGACAGGTTTGCATCTAAGCACAGACAGGGAGAGGACTCACTCCCCTGAGGTTCTTAATCCAATGACTGACATCCATAGAAAGGAGACGGAGACTGGTCACACAGTCGTCCACAGGAAAAGACCATGTGAAGACAGAGATTAGCACGATGCAGTCATGACCCAGGAGCGCCAGGACCGCCAACATGGAAGCCAGAAGAGAGTCCTGGGACTCCCTCAGAGCCTCCGGAAGGGACCAACAACTTGGTTTGAGCTTCCTCAAAATTTTTTCAAATTTTTGTTGTTTTAAGCCAACCAATTTGCAGGAAAGTGGAATAATTGCCTAAGGAAGCTAAGATAAGCACCAGATTTTTTACATTTAAGTCTCTCACACCCTGTGCAACAACAATTTGTTACCAACTCACTTTTCTCAAGTCAGCCTAGAGAAATAGCAGCCCTTTCCCTTGCTCTGACACACAGAGGTAGATACTTGACAAGTTGCTCCATGGTCAGGTGACTGGGGAAGCCACTCTGGACAATGACTGCCCATCTTTTGAGGTGTCCCCGTGATCCAAAGAGAAATTTATACACACCATTTAAGTTTGACGTTTTTAAACACATGTCTCCAAATTTGGTTAAAACCCAGCTACCTATTTTCACACAATGTCATAACTGAGAAAAAACTTCATCTATATAGAATGATGTTGATAAAAATAGTAGCTACCAATTTGAAATGTCTGCTGGGTACCAGGAGCAACACACTTGCCTTATATTTAAACCAGGGATTTGGGTCCTAACAGAAGGCTATGCAGACAGGAAATGGCAAAAAGTAGGGTTCAAACCCAGAGCCTGCGTGGTTCTAAAACCTGTGCTCTTCAGGCTCAGCCCTGCTGCCTGCCAGTGATCACCTTGTCAATTGGCTTGTCAATTGGGACACACTAGGGAGAGTTAGGCAAGTTGGAAAGGATGGGGAGGTCAGGGAAAGCCTGTTCTTCCTAAAGTCATCAAGAATGGCATCTGAGTCTTCAAAGTCTCCATAAGGCCCAGTCCAGGAGAGCCCCCTGCACTGGGCTAAGATCCTGGATAGCCGTTTATTTATTTAGCTGTCTCAAGACAGTGCCTTGCTCTGAACTAAGCTGTGCTCTGAACAGGGCAGAGTTGGAACTACTGGCTAGGAAACTCAGCCTTCTCGCTGTGATGCACTCTTGGGATACCTGGCCTGCCCTAGGGAGACCAGAGAGAACCCAGTGGGCATCCACAGATATCACAGAGGTGTGGAGGACCCTCCACAGGGCTTGGCTTGGCTTGGCTCCAGAGAGTCCTGGGGGCTTTACATCTGGGCAGCAGGTCTCAGCCTTGAGATGCTGGTCAGTCCACTTCAGACCTGAACTTACTCCAGAGCCCTCCTGGTGGACTCTGGGAACCAGGGCCTGGGTGTGCAGGGCTGATGGGAAGAACGGACACCCTGGCTGACCTGCCACCATGCAGTCCTGCTTGTGCCTCTGTCAGAGCACTCTGACCTCATTTTCTGTGTGTGGCTTTTTGTATCATTTGACTACCTCCCTTTCAGAAAATCCATCTTGACCCCCCCAATATAGAGAAGCCCCTAGTGACTCCTTCTCATCACCTTGCATTATTGTCTCCCTGGCACCTACAACAGCCTACAAATGCCTTGTGCATATATCATGTTCCCTAATCATTGTCCCCTATGAATGTTTGTCCCCTCACTTGCCTCCCTCACTGCTAAATCATCAGACTTAGTGGTCAGCTAATGGCTCCTGCAGTCGGGGACTGGATGGGTGGACAAGTGCCCAGTCTCCCTCCCTCAGTGTCTCCAGTTGGCTCCATTGGCACCTTCCCCTTGTGACATACCCCCCCGCCGGCCCACCCACATACAATAGCAAAGCTCCTGACACAGTCCTCCCAGCCTCCCTGCATGGCTTTCTCTCAGGCACTCAAACAAGTGCTTGGCAAAGGAGTGCTTCGAACAAACCAGACTCTTTATCCTCTTCAATGCAAGAGGCTCCTTCCTCGTCCACCCTCTCATGAGGGTGGGCAGCAAAGGTCTAGGCCCTCCTTGGAGCAAACATTCTTCTTAGCCTGAGACTGGCTGCTGCTTCTGCTCAGTTGGTAGGCCTCGAAGCTTCCCCCTGGCCTCAGCGATAGTTGTAGGGCCCTCTGAATCCCGGCCATAGAATCCCATGATGCCCTAGCGTGTATTCCACACATTACAGCCTCACTCCAGGCTGCTTTTCGCTTCCCTGGGGAAGCGAAACCTGGGACTCCCCACTGAAGTCTAAGGACCTACCATCCTGCAGTCCTGAATGTGCAAAGACAATGGCCACAAAACGTCCACCTCTGCGGACCTGCAGCCTCCTCTTCCTCTGGCCCCCTGAAAGATGGACCCCAGCAGCCCATCTTTCCCAGCTATTGTGTCCAGGAAAGGGACTGGGGAGGCTGGACAGGCAGAGCCCCTGGGATGACCCCATCCTTGGCATCTATCTGCAGCAGCCCCCACCCCCTTCAGAAAAGCCACCTTGACCCCCAGGCCTCCTGGTCCCAACTCCAGTTCCTCTGGGTCCCTCTGCTCTGAATACCCAGGCAGATGGGAGAATACATAGACCTTGGCAGCCTCAACCGAAACAGCAGAGGACCTCAGCTGACCATGGACAAGGTATGGCCTCGAGGATGGTTTCCAAAATGGGGGGCATCTCCAGAGCCCAGTTCTGACCACTTTGGCCAGGAGTATTGGGGGCGCTGTTCCTCCGGGGGCCAAGCCCATAGCGACCTGACTGGTGGTTTTGAAAAAGTGGCTCTGGGCCATTGTCCTTCATTCAGAAAGACTATATTGGGTCCCAGTCTGTTCCAGGGGCTCTAAATGTAAAGAAACACTGACCAGTGAGGTAGGCTTACTGGAGGCCAAGTCCACTTTGGGACTTTGAGTCCCAGCCCTAATGCAGCCCCTCTCTAAAGTCTGGTTCCTGCCTTTTATCTCTCTCATTGTGTCTACAATGGAAAGCTCGTACTGCTTGGCTCACTGCCACAAGTGCCCACTGTCCAGCACTGGCCCTGCCTGCCATCCTCTTGGTAGAGGCTATTAGCCAGTGTTCTGTTACCCCCGCCCCCATCAGCTCATGAGAATCTGCAGGCAGGGATGGAACATTCACACCCTGCTTTTCTATGTATATTAAGACAAGTAGGATGATCTTCCAGTTGAGAAGAGACTAGGCCTGAGCTCTGACCTCAGAGGGGCCCATTATCATACAGGGAGGAAGATAGTGAGAAAGGAAATTGTAGCACAACCCAGGGAGATCTGGAAGTCAGGAGTGAGAAGACATTATGTATGGCCACGTTCCCAGGTGACCGAGTCCTGTTCACCTCTGGGGACAGAAGACAGGGGTAGGGTGGGGTCAAAGAGCACTCTTTTGTAGCATTTCACTCCTCAGATTTGAACTTATGTGACCTAAGGCAAGCACCGTCCCCTGTCAGAGATAAATCCCAATGTCAGAATGGCCCTGCTATCTCTAGAGTCATCACATCCTTTATGCCTGGTCAAGTTACAATGGCTCCCACTTCCAACTAGGTCCAAGGTGCTAACCTGACATTCAAGTTCTCTGAAGATTGAGTGCTGACCTGCTTTACCTGGATTCTGACCCAAAGCTGCACCAGGAACCTGACATATCAGCCAAACTGGCCATCTGGCCTTTCCCAAGCATAGATCCTGACATCTCTATCTCAGTGCCTTTTAGACCCATGCTGTCCCCTGTGCCTGGTACATCTTTCCTAATTATCTGAAATTCAACCTTCCATTTTGGGCTCAATTGCAACCTCACATTTGAAGCCTTTCTTGATTGTTCAGCTGTAGAGGGACTTGGAGGAGGATATTGGCCATTGTCCTGTCCTCTATTCATCAACTCATGAGAACCTGAGGCAGGGATGGGACATTCACAGGAACAAATTCACCATCAAGTAGAAAGGGGAGAGCCATTCCAAACCAGGACTTCTGGCACCCCCAGACCTCTGAGCTGGAAGCAGAGAGCCTTCCCTGGACCAGAGAATCTCAGGAGAATCAGAAAGAGTGAGCACAGACCAGAGGCTCCAAGATGTAATGGGAAACATGGGAACTGTACCTTGACTGTGTCCAAAGGGTGGCCAACAATGACACTGGCTGCACCTGTGGATCAAAGAATAATATATGGTCACTCATACCTTGGACTCCTGTTTGTATCAGCTGGCTCTTGGAACAGGACAGAGGACTCAGGTATATGGGTTCACTCATTCAGTAGATGATCAGTTGCTACAGAGCTTCCAATGTACACTAGTCCAAGTACCAAGGAAGGCAGAGAAAATGGAGCCAACCTAAATCTTGACTTAAACACCTCAGAGAAGGAAAATAAGGTGCTGATAAAATGACATGCATATGCAGAAGAATGGATTTAGTTCCCTACCTCATATCATACAAAATATTAATTCAAAATAGATCAAAAATCTAAACGGGAGAGCTAAAACAATAAAACACTTAAACTAAAACATAGGGGAAAAAAACTCCATGACCTGGGATTTTCAATGGACTCTTAAGTATAATACCAAAAGCACAAGCAACAAAAGAAAAAATATAAACAGGGTTTCACAAAAATGCGAAGCTTTTGTGCATCAAAAAACATTCTCAAGAAAGTGAAGACAACTTGCAGAATGGAGGGAAATATTGGCAAATCATATATGTGATAAGGGTCTAGTATCCAGAATATATAAACTCTGACAACTAAGAAAATTATGGGTAAAAGGTCTTGAATAAACACTTCTTTAAAGAAGATATACAAATGGCCCAGAAAGACATGAAGAGATGTTCAACATTTAGGGAAACGCAAGTCAAAATCACAATGACATTCCCTTGTATACCTGATAGGAAAATAATAAGTGTTGGCAAGGAAATTGGAAGTCTTGTATGTTGTTGGTGGGAATGTGAATGGGTGCAACCATTGTGGAAAACAGTTGGATGATTCCTTAAAATAAATTAAACATCAAATTATATAATTACTACACAACCCAGAAATTCTATTTCTAGAGATATATCCAAGAACCAAAAACTAGTACATATTAATGCAGGTTCATGTCAGTATCATTTACAAAAGCCCAATGTCCACCAACCAATGAATCAAGAGTGGTATGTCCATTCATACAATGGAATATTATTTAGCTATAAATAGGAATGAAGTACTGAACATGCTACAATATGGATGAACCTCAAAAAACACATGCTAAGTGAAATACATCAGACACAAAGGCATAATAATTTCCACTTATGCGAATTATCTAGAACAGGTAAATTTGTAAAGAAAAAAAAGCAGATTAGTGGGTTTACAGGGCTGTGGGCAGGGGAGATGGGAGTGGCTGTTTAATGGGTACAGGACTTTCTTTGTCCATGTTAAAAAGTAAACTGAAGCACAATAAAATTTTAAAGCATTTGTTGAGCAAACAAACATTTATGAATTGGACAACTGCAAGGAAGGAGTGGTTCAGAAGCTCCACATACAAGAGAATGACAGAGGAAGCTTCTAGATACAGAGATGCAGCAGGGAAATCATGATCATGTGAGCTCTAATGATGGGATGCAGACTCAATAAATGCATCGTTAAGTGGTTTCATCTTTGGGCAAACACCAGAGTGTACTTACACAAACCTGGATCCTGGAGGGTACAGCCTACTGCACACCTAGCTACGTGGCATGGCCACCATCAACTACATGGTCCATCATTGACCAAGATGAGACTTAGGATGTGCAGCACATGACTATATTTGATTGGTTACACAGGTGCTGTCTTAGGTAAGTCCTGTTGGAAAGTCCCTAGTTATATAAGTTAGCTGATTACTTCTGAGTCATCAAGCATCAATTCTGTTTTTCTTTAATATAAGAATTTACAAGAAATAGCCCAAGGCGTTTTACTCATGTTTGCAAATTACGCAATGTTAAGGTCTCTGTTTGAGACCTCACTAACTTTGTCTGCCCAGGGATTCTTCAGGTCTGTCCTGATTTACTTTAATCATCATGAGGAAAATGGTTTAGAACTAGATAAAGGTGATGGTTTCACAGGATTGTAAGGGTACAAAAAATGCCACTGAATTGCACACTTTCAAATGGCTAATTTTACATTATGTGAATTTCAACTCAAAAAGCAAGGGGGTGAAGAGAAAACCCAGCAACTTTTAAGTTATCTATAGATTATTCAACTTTTCTTTGTTTCATTTTATTTGAAGGGGTTGGGGTCAGGCACTGGAGATTGAACCCAGGGGCACTTTACCACTGAGCCACATCCCCTGTCCATTTTTTTTTTTTTTTTTTTTTTTTGAGAGGGCCTCAGTAAGTCACTAAGGCTGGCCTCAAACTTGTGATCCTTCTGCCTTAGCCTCCCGAGTAGCTGGGATTACAGGTGTGCACCATAGATATTGTCACTTTTGAATGATGTTCTTTTAAAGATCCAAAGGTGATAGATACAATGGACCTTTTCATTAAAAAAAAAAAAAAAAAAAAAAAACTGTCTTCACAGAGGCCTGTACCATTCTGGGAAGAGCAAGGCCACCTAGATAAAGAAGCCCTTGTGGAAGCTGGTGACTGAGATTCAAACAGGAGCTGTTCTTCCAAAATAAATTTTCCAGTCCAGTGACTTAAGAGACAATGGCTCTGCCAGCAGAAGTGATTTAACCAAGTCAGCTAAGTCAGGGCCCTGGAATATTCTGTATTTACAGGGACAGAGAATTTAGCTAATCCTTTGGTCCAGGTCTTCCTGTCCTCTCTCACCTCATCCTTATCCCTGAACTGGGCAGTGGCACAGAACTGATGGTCGGTGGAGGTCAGAAGAAAGCCTGGAGCCTTCAGTCCCACTTTGCAGGACCCCTCCCAGCAAGGTGGAAGGAGCTCTGGTCCTCAGGCTGGGAGGCAAGTCCCCCAGAACCAGTGCTGGCTTCCCTCTGCCTTGAGCACAGTTCAGCTCTGGTCTTCGGTCAGTGTCTCCCTGCTCACACTCATCAGCCCACCCATCTGGAAAGCAAGAGGTGCCAGATTTTTTTTAAAATGAGATTTGGGGGTCAGTAGTTTCCAGATCTTGGGATCTCAAAGACTTATATAACTCCAAATAAAACGTGGAGGTTGTTATGGGGAAATTTTTCCATACAAGGTTGTTAACAAAGACAACAAGTATAGACAAGTCTGGGAGTTACCACCCTGGCAGTCAGACCCTGGTGCCCAGTTGTCTGGGTCAGAATACCAGTACCCATGTTAGATGCATGGCCTCAGGATTTCTTTGTACCTCCAATCTGTAAAATGAGAATGTAATAGTACCCACTTCATTTAGGGTTATTAGTAAAGAAATATGTACGAACAAATGCAAGACACCCCACTTTTCAGGATTTAGCTGCTATGAAAGATCCAGGAAAGGCAAATTTACAGAAGGCAAATTAGTGGTTGTCTAGGGGGAGGAAGGGAAGCAAAGCTCAGCTGTTAATGGACTTGAGAGATCTTCCTGGGGGTTGACAATGCTCAATAACTCATTTATAGTGACGGTTGCACCACTTGGTAAAGTTGCTAAAAATCATTCAATTGTACACTTGAAATGAATTTTATGATAGGTAAAATTAACTTCAATAAGCTTTGCATAAACCTCAGTAAAGTTACACCTAGTAAGCATTCATGTGACTACCTTCACCATCATTTCAGGCAGGCAAAAACAAATAAACAAACAAAAATAAGGGCAATCTCAGAATTGTCTTATCAGAGGTCTGGGTTCCTCTGCCTCAGCCCACCCTCCAGGGCAGTTCTCAAACCCAGCCATCTGCAACTCTACTGAAAACTAAAGGGGCCATACAGGGAGGGGTCTCCCCTCTCTGTCTACCCCTCCAAGTGGTTGAAGGACTGTTCAAAGAGGGCTTGGGTATGTCAAATGGGCCTCTGGCTGGTCAATTTAGGAGAGGCAATTCTCAGCCCCACCCACAGGCTCCTGTGCCAACAGAACTGGGTGCTGTGGAAAAAGCTACCTCTGTCCAGGAAGGTGTGTGCAGGACCAGTTGCCAGCTACCAGGGAAAACATCAGAGGCCTGCTAGGTGGGAGGGGAGGACCTGGAGTCTTATCTGGTTTGTTGATCTTTTTATTTAGTGCCCCTCCTTTGGGGGAGGGGCTGAATTTAACAGCATCTCTTTTAATTTTTTTTATATTTTTAACAGCATCTCTTTTAATTTTTTATATTTTTTAACAGCATCTCTTTTAATCTTGGGCCGGTCAAAATAAAGGTAATTTTTTTTTTTTACAATCAACAAGGTCCATCAAACGTCTACACTTACTCCCTCATACTTGAGAAAGGAGGAATACAGGCATTTTAAAAGGAGAAGCAAGGAAACTGGATGCACCTCTGGCCCAAGCAACCCACCTGAGGTCCAGCAGAGCAGCTCAGGGAGTGATGGCGAAGGGACCAGTAGGCCCAATAGTGCTAGGAAGGACCTTGAAGTAGCGCATTGGCTGAAGGCTGACCACTGCTGAGAACAGGAAGGGTTCCTGCCAGCTGTTACTGAGCACCTGCAACCTGGAGCTCCCCTCCCTGCGCTCTGCTCCTTCCAGTCCGGGCTCCCCCTAGAGCCAGCCGGACCTTGCAACCCCTCACCATCCCGCGCCCAGGATTCAGGGGCCAAGCGCCAACTCGCAGCCAAGTTCCTGCTAGCCACGTCCCCAGATTCAGGTGCAAACCCGTCACTGAAGGGTGGGTGCCCGCCAGGGAGGCTCCATTGGCTGTGAGCTCTACGGACTGCTTAATCATTACCAGATCAAACTCCTCGGATCCTAAGGTTGAAGCAAATCAGCTCAGGGTCAATCATGAAATCAGAGGAGTTCCACTGAGTAGCCAGACCACCCGAGAGGACTCGAGGGCTTCGAACCAGGGACGGTCCCCGCACCAAGGCGTCGCGGCAGCCACGGCGCGTGAAGGAAGGTGCGGGGGGCAAAGTTTCCAAAGCCAGAGGACTTGGTGCAGTGCCGGTAGCTCACGCTCCGGTCCGCGAGTGTCCCCTCGGCACTCACCTCCGATCCAGCCCGCGGCAAAGTCTTCCAACTGGAAGCTGCTCATGGCTGCTATAGCGCCGCTCGCCCTCCCAGAGCCAGGGCAGTGCTCACTCAGTGCCTGCAGGACATGGCCCGCGGGGGCCAAGTGCTCTGATCAAAGTGGGAGTCTGGAGCCCTCTGCGGGTTTTACTCCTAACCCGGCGTCCAAGTCACCCGCTGCGCAGGCTGCCGGCTCACCTCTCTAAGTGCTCCCGGGCAGCTGACATCACGCCCCCAGTGGACCTTAAAGGCGCAGCACTCAGGCAGGATGAGGGTGCGCACCGCAAGTCCCAGGTCCAAAGAAGCAAGGGCCACCAAATGGAATTCCCTTAGCCCTCCCTACTTCTAGTCATCCTCTCCCTTGCCAAGTGCAGAGCCTCAACGCCTTTGAGGTGAAAGTGCTCGCCTTAGCCTGAAATAGATCACATTGCCTCTGACACTGGAAATGACTTGAGGGATATTTTTGCAAAGTTCAAGGGAGGGAAGTTTTATCCAAGGTCAGGAAACATTTGGTTACAAACACCATAGTCTTGCTGTGATAGGATTATTTACCTGTGGGAACATGTCATCCTGTGCACGAGCTGAACAGCACAGAAATAATTTAGAAACGCATTCTTCATTATTTGAGGAGCTAATTAAAAGCCACAGATAGTTTTGCCATAAAGTACACAGAACACATGAGTTTCCAAATGAGTATTAGAGTTAGGGAACCCCCTCAACTCCCGGGAGCCCCCCCCCCCAAACTCTCTCTGCATTCTCCAAGACCTGTGGGTTAAGAAACTCCTCCCCGCCCCCATTAGTAAGTAATGAGATAATGTGTGGAAATCACATAGCTTTAACTCACCTCTAAATAAATACTAGCTATTATGGATGTCCAGCATTTTCTGAACACTTAAATCATGCCTTATTCCCTGTGCTGGATTTACTCTTTAGAGTAGCTCTGTGAGTTCTGTGCTATTAACCCCACATCACACATGATGGAAATTACTATATGTTCAATGTATATAATGTGTATATATCTCAAACTACATTTTAATCTTTTAGCAACTGGCCTAAATTAGGATGTGAAAGTTTCCACATCTGAATTATAGACTTGGCTGTCTGAGAACAGATTCCAGCTTATTCCTGAAGAAGTGGCTTTCATTGGGAAAGGCCCAGGGAGACCTCCCCGATAATGGAAGGTCCTGCAACATTCCCGCTGAGAGCACACAGCCCACTGGGAAGGAAGCCCTACATAGGGGGAATTTTTCAGAACCCTGCTCCTGGCCAGGTAGGTAGCTCACTGTGTCTCTGGGAGGCTCTTCCTTCCCTGTAGCAGCCAGAAACCACGGATACCCCCATTTTAGTGAAGCAGGAACAAAGGTCAGGCAGTTAGTGTAGCTAGAAGATCTCGTCAGGAAGATGGAAGGTGATTCAAAGGGAATGGAATGTTAATATCTTCAGGACACATCCACTTCACTCCAGGCCAAAGTCTATGACCTCTGGGTATCAAAATGCTAAAGCTCTGAAGCAGGCCAGAGACCTCTACCTAGAAGACCTTACAAAAATAAACCAGAAACCCTCACCATATTTGTGGCATGTAAGTTCCTCTTAGCTTATCAGAAAGCTTTTTATCAGCAAAAACTTCTGCAGAAGGGCATTGTGGTAGTTTCCTCTTCTTGTAAATGTCTGGTTTGCAGAAAAAAAAAAAAAAACTTGTGAAACTCTGTCTAGAGGATGGAATGTAAAGCGCTTGTCAAGCGACCATCCTAGCCCCCTCCCCCCACTGTGTATAAAGTTCAAAGAATTTCTAAAATAGTCATTGTAAGGTCCATGCTTAGCATCTGGATGGCCATCTTAAGTGACAGCCGCCATCCTAAGAATGGCCCTTTCCCACCCAAGGGCCTTTCTGAGAAAGGTTCACCACTCTCTCATACCAACCCCACCCTTAACCACCCGAATTAGGACCCGCCAGGCTCTAATCCCGGAGCCTGTCCCATAAAAATCCCAGAACTCAAGCCTGTTTTGCCTCTCTCCATCTATGGAGAGATGCCCTTTAAACTCTCCTGTGCAACTCTGTCTAGTCTCTGAAAGGAAAGCGAAGAACCAGGAGATGGAGAACAAGAAATGAAAGTCGGAGACCAGGCAGAGATACACACGACAGTTTACTTGTCGGAGCTGACAGATAAAGGCTACCTCTCCATAGATGGGGAGAGGTAATACAGGCTTCGGGTTTGGGACATTTTGGGGGGTGGCTCAGGGATTAGAGCTGGGCGGGTCCTAATGTGGGCCATTAAGGGTGGGGTTGGTATGATTGAGTGGTGAGTCTTTCTCAGAAAGGCCTTTGGGTGGGAAAGCCTTAAAATGGCAGCTGTCACTTAAGCTGGCCACCCAGATGCTAAGCAAGGACCCTACCATCTCCTATCTTTCATTTCTTGCTTGCCCGTCTCCCGGTTCCTCGCTTTCCTTTCACTCATGGTCCAAGGGAGAAATTTTAGGCACTAGCCCTTTTGGACCCTGCAGTCAATAAACCTGCTTCCTGAAAATTCCTCAGGTGTCCAGTCTCTTCTGTCATGCTTCACCTCCAGAGCCCTTTACCTGCTGTTGTCAAGGTGACCTGCTTTCAGGGAACTGTTCTTCCCAACTAAGGGCTATTAATGAATGCCTCCTGGGCAGCTCTCTTCCAGCCTGGACCCCTGGAGGATGGCTTCATTCATGACCTTTTGGCCCACCAAAAGGTCATGAGTCACTTTGGTCACTGGCCATGTATGCAGGATGGCGGGGAGAGGCCAGGAGAACAAAGAAATTCTGAAGTATATAAAAGGGGCAGGACCTCCCACTCCCTGGGATATCAACCCTGGGTATCTTCTTCCTGGGAGAAGTCTGTTCTCATCCTTAAGTAAAACTTGCTTTCTGCGCTTGCCTTGGCCTTTTCTTGGGGTTCAATCTTCACATCTGGGGAAACAGAACTCGGCCCTGATTGAGTCTGATCACGGGTGGTATCTCCAGCCCTGCCATCTGACCCCTCCCTCTCTACCTCTCATCCTGCTCCCCGACCCTTCCCATTCATTCACCTCTCCTGAGGTGGCACTTGGTAGGTGATAGGTTTCCCTGTGCTATGTCAACAGTGGGATTCTAAGCCACTGTGGCTTCCTCTGCCCCATGCCATCCCTGGGCAGTGATGCCTTTGAGCACATCCCAGCCAGCCATCTCCCGTTCAGCACCCTCGGCCCAGAATACCTAGTGGCCCAGGGTCATGACTAGCTTTCAGGCAGGGCTTCCCAGGGCCCAGCTCCTAGGCACATGATGGTTCAGCTTATACTGCCCAACCTGGGCCAGCCAGAAGGCAGATGGTGGTCTCCCTCAGTAGGCAGATGTGCACCCAGACAAGTCACCAGCTGTGGTCCATGCTCAATGGGGGGTGTAGGTCAGCCATCTATGGGGCTTCTTTTCCAGTGGAGCATCCTGCCCCTCCCTTTAAGGAAGATGATACCTGTCCTTGACATCCTGCTAGTTTCCTGTAGGGACCCGGCTGTGGCTCCCAACCAAGGTACTCCAGGGTTGACAAGAATGCTAAGGAGTATGGTCTGGAGGAAGGAGTCTGCTGGGTCTGCTCTTGTCCCACTGGTACACATCCATGTCACACTAGACAGGACAATGTTCAACAGCAGCTGGCCAGGACTCCTTCTCCAAAGCAAGATGGAGTCTGACCATTGAAGCTTGATCCTAACAGGGCCTGCTGAGGAGAAGGGGGAGCTTGGAGGTAGGAGGGGCCCTCCTGCAGATCCCACCTCCCACATCCCAGGTGCACGCAGAGCATACCTGTGTTTGGGTGTGAGAGCCAGATCTCCCCCTCTGCAGGAAGATCCCAGGATGGAGCCCAAACCTGGCTGGGGGAGTCTAATAAAGCCCTATCTTTGAGCTCAGCTCCTGCTACACGTAGGGACCCATTCAGTCTTGAGGCTGCAGATCTACCACCAATACTGCCCCCTCACCCCCAGCTGAGCCCTGTCATACTTAAGACCTATGCCTGGGACATTCATGAGAAATAAAAGGTCTCAGCAGAATGGCCCTTTGGCGAGTTCACTGCTGGAATGAATCCACAAATGGAAAGGCTGCCAATTCCCAAGGCCGATCTTCTGCAGGACCACCTAAGTGTCTCCAGGCAGATTGCCACCCCTCAGTCGAATGTCAGTACCCGTGGTGAGGTCCTGAGTTGGCAGTCAGCGTCCCAGGAAGCCAGAGACAGCCTCCCTGGCCCAAAAGCTGCTGTTTGAACTGCCAGAGTCAAAGCAGAGCAGAAGGAGAGGGCTCCCTTTCAAGAAGAACCACTGTGCTCTATTAGCAAATGTGTGCCATGAATTTGCTCAAGAGGCACAGAACCAAGGGAGGAGGGTAGCCAGGAGGAACACAAAGTTTAGTGGCAGTGACAGGCCAGGCCCTGTGAACCCCAGCCCACCCAGCAGCCTGCTACTTCTCCCTGGCTTCCTCACTCTAAATGCTGCTGTCCACATCTGTATTCTACCCTCTGGAGGGAGACGCAGCTACTGGCACTCCCACAGGCACAGAAACTGAGGCACAGAGACATGGAATTCCTGAATCACTAAGGCCAGAAATAAATCCCTTTTCCTTTCTCCCTCAGTTCCCTCCCTACAGGGGACTCCTAAGAGCATGTCCACTGCAGTAGGATACACAGAAGACAAGTGCTGATATCATTTGATAACAAGGGGCCCACTTTCTCATTCTCCTTTACCACAGCAGGTCTGGTGTGAACCGTTGCCCCCGGGTTTGATTGCTCAGGTATAGCAGGTGGGCATAGGGAGAAATTGTGTACTTGGCCAAAAGAGTGGTCAGAGAGGGAGGAGCTGTAGGCTGGAGTTCAATGGCCAATGCTCTTTCAATGCCAACAGAGATGCCCTAAACACCAAATACGTGCCAGTCTGTCTTAGAGAGGAGGTAGTTTATCCGGAAAGCCCCACGGAGGAGCCTGTGAGAGCACCGGAGGAGATGTCCCTTGTGCTTCCAGCAGTCCCGAATCCAGCCTACAGATCCTCCCTCTCTGACCTCTCTTTTGGCCAAGTACACAATTTCTCCCTATGCCCACCTGCTATACCTGAGCGATCACCCCCCAAATGGGAAAAGTTCTGTCCCACCTATACATGAGCGATCAGACCCGCGACG